TTACAACTCTCACAATTAAACCCTCAATCTAATCTCTTTCTTCCTCGAAGAACAGCCGACTTTTAAATCTCCCTCAATTCCTACACCTGCACCTCCTTTTTCTCTTCTTTCGTAGCCGCAAAAGGAGTCCCTGCACTCACCAAGAGACAGCCGCCTTTACACCCCTGCACACGAAACTCACCTCTGCCTGTGCCTTGCTGCAACCGTCCTTTGCTCTGCTTTTTCCCCTCACTTCGCACCTGCCCTCTTTGCACCAAACCCTAGGGAACAAATCTCAGCTCTATATATAGCTAAGATGTGAATTAATAATCGGGTGGGCCTGGCTATCAAATCTCACGCGGAAACGATTCACGTGGTTGCGTGCTTGGCTTGGCTTCGTCCGTGTGCTTGTCTGGGGCCTGCTCACGTGCTTCAACCAATCACAATTCTCCACCTCGGCGAAGTTTCTACCAAAACTGAGCCGACACCAAAGCATCCAAATGTCCCACTTGTTGTGACCAGTACGAACTCAATCCACAACAAGTCGAGAACCCGAACGAGAGTCCAAACAATCTCACCCTGAGAATGCAAACACTCTCCAAATGTCAGTATCAACTCACCAAATTGATCTCACCCCCATCAAAATCCAAACCGGCTGCATCTGAAAGACTGCCTACGTATCCTCTTGCCCAAGGAATCAAGCCGAACGTAGTTCACCAAAATGACCTCCAAAGGCCTCAATCCAATAGAAGAGTTCGCAACCCTTCTCCAATATCATCTACTCCGCGGCTGATAGCACCTCCAATGGCCTCAAACACCTCCACCTGAGGTGAACCAATGGTCATATCCAAACTGCATCTATCAGCTGCACTCGAGTCAAAATCCAACCCATCATCTGCACCCAAATCCAAATAACTTCCACGCCGTGTCACCTCAGCTGGAATCCCAACCAATGCAGAATGACCTGGAGTATGTGGGAAAATCCCCACCCAATATGGAGTCCAAAGCTCTCCACCTGCTGAGAGTCAATTAGCTCCCTCATCGAAGCCTCAACCAAAGTGACACTACCAGACCTATCTTCCAATGGAGTTTTACCTCCAATCACAGCAGTTGACAACTCTTTAATAGGATGACCCAAATATGTTGAAGCATCTGTCCAGAAACTCTTCTGCAAACCATTGCTCGACCACAAACACTGATCCTCCTCCAGCAAGGCACGGTTCTCCAAATTTTTTACCCTATCTAGTTGCCCCAAGATTTCCTTTCCAACGAAGTGTCTCAAAATGCCGTGAGCTCGGCTCCAATACAGAAACAGGTCCATCTTGTACCTCCCACCAGAATGGAGTACCTTCACCTTTTTGTCTATCACATACTTCTTCAAACTGTTAGAGACTACTAGGACTTTATTTGTCACCCTATCTAGTTGCCCCAAGATTTTCTTTCCAACGAAGTGTCTCGAAATACCGTGAGCTCGGCTCTAATACAGAAATAGGTCCATCTTGTACCTCCCACCAGAATGGAGTACCTTCACCTTTCTGTCTATTACACACTTCTTCAATCTGTTGGAAACTACTAGGACTTTCTCCAAAGGGGATTTGGTTGCAACCCAAACACGCCTAGAACAGCCACCAACAAAGGAAACCAAACGCCTATTACCTCCCAATGATGCCCCCTTGGAAGGCCCCCAAACATCCACGTGAACTCCTCCAGAACGACCCTTAGCACGGTGAATAGAGGTGCCACACTTCACCTCGGTCTTCTTGCTCACATCAACATGTTCACTGGACTTCAAACTGCAGGTCTTTGCACCCTCTTTCAATCTATGCGAGGAATCAATACTGGAATGGCCAAGCCCCAAATGCCGCAGTCTAGTCGAATCAACAGAAGTCGTCAGCTCTCCACCTGCCACTATACCTCCAGTCAAGTAATACAGGTTATTTCTCCTGACGCCCTTCATCAAAATACGAGAGTCTCTCGCAATCTCGAGAACCATGTCCTCAACACGAACCTTCAGACCCTCTCCAACCAAAGCTCCAATCGAGATCAAGTTCTTCCTCAAAGAAGGAACATATCTCACATCGTTTAACTCTCTAACAGTCCCGTCAAACATCTTTATGCGAATTCTTCCTATCCCAAGGATCTGGCATGCACGGTTATCAGCCATGTACACCACACCACTATCCACCAGCTTCTCAAAACTGGAGAACCATTCCCTTCTAGGGCACACATGATAGGTCGCACCACTATCCAACATCCATTCAGATTCCTCCGAATAGCTATCTGTAGGACTGATAGAAAGCGAATAAATAGAAGAGTCAGAATTATTACCATCCGATACGATGTTTGCTTCTGATGATGGTTGCTTCCCTTTTCCCTTCTGCTTATTCTTCATCCATTCGTCGAGCTTTGGGCAGTCTTTCTTCCAATGACCAGTCTCCTTGCACCAAGCACACTGATCTTTTCCAATTGTAGGATGCCCTACTCTAGACTGTGACTTCCAATTCTTCCGGTTTGGATTCTTCCCTCTTGCGACCAACGCCTCTGCTACCGACTCAGTCGAATTCTCCTTATCCTTCTTCCGAAGCTGATAATTCACCAATGCAGCAGTGACCTCACTATATGAAAGAGATGCCTTCCCATTAATCAGAGTAAGGACGAAGGTCTCATATTCCTCGTCAGGCAAGGAACTCAACAACAGCAACGCATTGTCCTCATCTTCAATCTTGACATCCACATTCGCCAAATCCGCAAGAAGCTTTGTGTAGTGGTTCATGTGATCTCTAATGGTGGTTCCCTTCTTCAACTGGAAACGATAAAGTTTCCTCTTCAAATGCAAGCGATTTTTCACACTCTTGGTCAAATACTTGCTTTCGAGAATCTCCCAAATATTCTTCGCAGAAGTCTCATTCATCGCATCATATTTTAGATCTTGAGTCAAACAAGATCTAATCACACCACACGCCGTTCGATTCATCTTCTTCCAAACCTTCTCTTCAATCTCATCTGGCTTGCCATCTAACTCCAATGTATCCTCCAAATTCTGCGCGTTCAGCGCATCCAAAACCTCGCATCTCCATAATCCAAAGTTGTTTGTGCCATTAAATTTCTCCACATCTATCTTCATAGAGTGGATATTCAAACTCTGAATGGTCTTCGCGCCAGAAGCACCACCCTCGACACCCGAAGCACCTTCTTTCCCCGACATCTTACGCACCAACGAACAAAGAATAGATCCAAAACTGAAAGATAGAGTATTTACCAAAAGATCTCACCTTTATCACCAACGAAGTCCTAAACGGGCCTCCAAATTGATCTACTCCTCCAACCAAACCCTAGATCTGGAATCTGGGCTCTGATACCACTTGTTGTGCGCAGCGGAAATTTCGGCAGAGTTTCTGGTGCACAATAAGAGAGAAAGATCGATAAGAATTCTTGTTTCTCAAAGGGAACAAGAATCTGAAAGCCTAATATCCCATCAAAGTGGGATATTTGCTCTTCCTCTCGTCAGCTCTAGGACTGCGCGTCGAGGGATCCTAAAAAACTATTACAATGGTCACAAACACAAACAAATCAATTTTACGTGGTTCGGCAAACTGCCTACGTCCACGGGGCAAGGAGGGGGATCTACTATTAGAGAGAAAATACAATAGGTTTACAATCTCACAAAATAAACCCTCAAACTAACTCTCTAATCTCTCATAAGAACAGCCACTCTCTCTCTCTCAGCAGACTTTCTTCCCTCTGCCTTAGCACTGTTGCAGCCGCTCCCAATGAGACTCTCAACTTGCACGCGCTGCCAGAAAGAGAAGAACAGCCGACTTTTAAATCTCCCTCAATTCCTGCACCTGCACCTCCTTTTTCTCTTCTTTCGTAGCCGCAAAAGGAGCCCCTGCACTCACCAAGAGACAGCCGCCTTTACACCCCTGCACACGAAACTCACCTCTGCCTGTGCCTTGCTGCAACCGTCCTTTGCTCTGCTTTTTCCCCTCACTTCGCACCTGCCCTCTTTGCACCAAACCCTAGGGAACAAATCTCAGCTCTATATATAGCTAAGATGTGAATTAATAATCGGGTGGGCCTGGCTATCAAATCTCACGCGGAAACGATTCACGTGGTTGCGTGCTTGGCTTGGCTTCGTCCGTGTGCTTGCCTGGGGCCTGCTCACGTGCTTCAACCAATCACATCCATCATGTTAGCACGATGAGTTGGGTTTAATTTCAAAATTAGTATGTATGTCATTCGTTGATTCATACATGAATTGGGGTTTTTTTAAAGGCTTGAAAAAAGTCTGTTATGTAGAATAATTACTTGAAGCTTTGTTGGAAACATAACTTGAATCCAAACTTTTGAAATTCTAACGATTTTATGCATTTTTATTATTTTTCCTGTAATCTCCCAGATTAATGTAAGTTTATTTAACTCAACAGATGTAAGCTTAAGCAATCTTAGTTCTTCTGCTTCTCTGACTTTATGCAAGACAGGTGCATCAGATTGAATGCATATCTGCAAATTATGCTTGATATTTTATTTAAAACCACATATTTATCCTAACTCTTACACGCTCAATTGATTTTTAGGCAGGGAAGGGTGGGGAGCTAACTCATTACGAGACCAATTATTGCTAGAGCCCTGGAATTGACCCAAAAGACTGCTAAAGATGTTCTGCTAAAGATGTTATGACGACAATCTCTGAAATTTTTTCCCTTGATATAAACTCTAAGCTTGACATGTATGTAATTTTCTTTCTTACTAGACTACCTATAAGTTTGTATACATTAGATGTAATGGGCATTCATCCAATATAATTGGATGTACTGTTTTGTTAAATATTTGTCTTGTATGTCCCAAATTAAGATCATTGCAGAATATTGAGAAAACTTATGCATATGGGGATAACTGCTCTTTGGGCCCTAGCAGAATAATTAGCTTGGTCTTTTTATATATCAAATATTTATTTTTAATGCTAAATGAAGGAATGGAGAATGTATATAACTGTTTGTTTCACTCTCTAGAAACTTTTTTCCATTTTCTTGCTCGGTCTACCTTACTGCTGTTGCTGCTGCTACCATTTTTCATCAGAGGCTAGCTGCTACCATGGTTCATCACAGACTTATAGAGTTAGGTTTATATATGCTTCATCATTCATAATTATTTGTCAACACGGACTACCTTCTTCAAGCACTGTTATGAAGACTGCTGTGTGTATGGCGAGTTTAATTCCCTTTTGTAATCGGTAAGAAAATTACAGGTATTTTAGGAATTGGTTGGTGCATTGCATTCCATAATGCTGTTTTTGGTTCAAGTGCCGTCACCTTATTTGGAGGAGTGTTTTTACACCAATAAGGTTCCTTGATACACTGTTTTTGGTTCAAGTGCCGTCACCTTATTTGGAGGAGTGTTTTTACACCAATAAGGTTCCTTGATACACATTTTTTCCTTTGTAAATTTGGCTAAAGCTTGGAGGAGTGTTTTTACACCAATAAGGTTCCTTGATACACATTTTTTCCTTTGTAAATTTGGCTAAAGCCGTTCAGCTTGGTTTAACTCACTGATGCCTTTTGTTATGTGTATGTGCTTGCTCCACCTGCATTTCCCTTTGTTTCCTTTATATAAAACATCATTATATTATTTCCTTCCCTTTCATTGAACACACTATTTCTTTTTGACCTTCTATGGCTAGAAATCTTTATTAGGAATTAGAAAGTATTATTCCGCTATTGGTAAAATAAGAATTATGGGTAAGATGACAAAAATTCAATGAGAAAGATTCAATAGAAGCAGATGCAAGATGATTTCAACCTATACATTTAAATGATCAAGATTCCTCTGTGTGCGTGCGCGCATGCCTTTTTTTACTTTTTGCTTTTGAGGCAAATCATATTTCCTGTGATTGATAATGTAATTCTGTCTTCCTTCCAGGTTAAGAATCTGATTACTTGCCGCCATGAAGACGAGGTTCCCATTAGGAATGTTACTATAAGAAAAATTCCTAGGTATGCGTTTGTCTTAAAAACAGATCAGAAGTTTTTTTTTTTACTTATTCAAGGATAGCTTGTGGTAAAGTCTGGAGCATTACTATACAGTCATTAGGATAGATTTTACACTAACTCCTATTTTCCATCAAATGTTTTCCATCCTTAAGTACTCTAATTGTTTTTATGTTTGCACATTTAAGTAAGTTCTCAAGTTGGTATGCAATACTCAATTTAATATTTAAGCTATGCCTTGTGTATTATTTTAATATTTATGATATGCCGTTATCACATCTCCATTTAAAACACATTTCTAGAAAGATCTCGTTGCCTTATCAATAATAGTAATGCTTGGTTTTGATGTTTTTAATAGTATAATTGTCATTTCTATGTTCTGGGCCAAACTTCAGTATTTTATTAATGTAAGATTGCAAGCGATAACGTCTGATTTATCATTTACCATTTGTGTAGTCTCCTTGTTAAATGAGTGGATGCATCAGCTGAAAGCACATTTCTTGGACAAGTCTGATCTTATCTTGTACAGGGTGATTTTGTTTCTTGATTTTTGTAACACTTGATTTTTGTAACACAGACATCACTACATGGTTCAGGATGTGTAGGAATTTTGTCAGCAAAAGCAAATATTATGTGATCCTTCCATGCGCATGCATGTGGGCGGGATCAGCTAGCAAATTAATGGATGGTTTCCTAACTGTTGAATCATGTTCCCCTATTTATGAATATGGTATACAGGCATAGCTAGCTCATGTCCTCGGAAAAGATAAAGAAAACTAAATAAAGGTCATATGCACATTTCACATACATCATCTATTGATGTCTACTTTTCCAATTGGCTGGTCTCCTATGTCCTATGCACCACATTTTTTTAGTCGGATGTTATTGTAACATTGTGAGTAAATGCTAATACAAATTCATATCCTGACAAATGCAGTTTTATCTTGAGAAACAAAATTTATAGAATCCTATAGCATTTTTTTTAACTCAAAGCCAATAAAATTTATCATTCTGATTTAAGAAGCTTGGACACGGACACGGCATGACAGGACATACGGTAAGCCATGAAAAGAACATATTAAATTCTAAAATAGTACAAATGTAGTAGGAATTGGATGGAAAGAAGTCTGAATCTATACCTGTATTAACATGAGACAATCTGACAGTACACATTTGTCTTTCATCAATTGTCATTCTTCAAAAACCTTCATCAATAACAATTATGCAGCAAGAATTATTGTGTACGAATCATGTGTTTAGGAAAGTTGGGATGGAAGTGTGCATCCTTTCATCGATTACAACATGGTGCAGTGTCAGATTTCTTGTCCCATAAATTTCCATTCGTCACACGACATTTATCAATAAAATCGATACTTGCAAGAGTTTTTATGTCTCTATCATGTCTTCAGTGTGGCATGATTTGGAGATAAGAGTATCTGTGCTATATATGTTTATGTGCATTACGCAACCTTCATCCGCTAACCCCTGGATTCTGTGTTCAGTTTAATGTTCAGCCATGAGAAGCCATCTTTGAACTTAAGTATCAAAGAATAGAGTAAATTCTCAGGAACTAATAGTATAATATTAAAAATCACGGTTTATAGCTGTATTTCTTTATAAAAGCAATTTCTTTTCCGACCAGCGTAATAATTTGTTCTTTCGACCAGGGTATATGGTGATCTTCCGCTTTATGACATACTGAATGAATTTCAGAAAGGTCACAGTCACATGGCCGTGGTTGTGAAGCGCATGAAAGATACTGAGGCAAATATGGAAAAGAGCAAGAAGGATATATCAGAAAATGGAGGCCATAAAAGTAGGAAACATCTTCTAGGTGATGGTATTACTGGTATGATTCATGGTAACCACTTCATTTGTGTAGTTTTTCACTTGAGTTAACCATTTAATATCCGAGCCAATTAGCTCTTGATCCGTATAGAGTCACTAGCTCTTGATCCGTATAGACAATTGCCTTACCCGTGGATATCCCAACAATACATTCTTTTAATAACATTCCATCATGTTAGCGTGAAAATAAACTCATTCTTGGCATTCAACACCTTACCTAATGAGGATATACTGTACATCCGTGTGCCTTAGTGAGAAGTAAATGAAGAATGAGCATGAAACAGTTAGAAAGTTGCTTTAATCAGGAGGTCAAGGATATGGTTGGAGAGTCCTTGCATTCCTCTTACATATAGAACAACCAATGCAGAATGGATCTAGCCCCATTCTAACGTTGATAAATTTTGCAGCTCATCAATGAGAAGCGTCAAGTGATTCAAGAGTACGTGTCAGGAAAGGCAATTCCAAATCAGCAGATAACTACCAAACTAGAGAGGGTCTTGGGAATGAAACTGAGAGGAAAGAAATAATTTGCCCTGTACAAAATTCGTAACTTATGGAACTTTGACATATGCAGCAAATGGTTCAATTTTGATTTTGAGCAGCTTGAACTGGTGATAGTATATATGAAGTGTGGAGCTAGTTTTGTGTCTTTTTACGCGAGATGAACTTGTTGCTTGTGTTACATCATTTTCTCCTCTGTTGTGATGTTTTCTTATGTCTAATGAATGAGGTTAGTAGAGGCTTTTGTCTGCTTTTCTTTGTTGTTGCCTTAGAAATTTTAGATTAATTGTTGATATTTACTTGACTTTCAAATATGTAAACTCATGTAGTTTCTTAATATGCATCACGTGCAATGCACGTATGGTATACTAGTTAGATCAAAACGATTGAATATTGTTATCTTTATCGAATGAACGTATGAGGTGTGATTAAAGATAAAAGTGACGAAATTTATAAATCATGGACGAAATTCCAGGACAAGTTGAAAAATAAATCGGAGAAAAATATTCCAGCAACAAATTTTACAAGAAGGGCTGGTTTGCACTTAAATGCTCCAAAGTTTATACAAGTTTTCACTTTAATACCCTAAAGATTTTATTCCAAAATCATCTAATTCCTATAATTTTAATTTTGGTGCTCTGAGTAAGTCATTTTACAATATCAAAGTTAAAATTTAACAACATAAAATGGCACTAGTGTTTTAGCCCGTGCTAAGCACTGTCTCATCGTAATTCATCCATTATTCGTCACGTTTCAATCATTCTTGTCCGAATATAATTTTACAAATCTAACGACTCAACCTCCTTTGAAACAAATTAACCTCACTCTCACCCAGCCCCATTGAGCTTAGATAACATGTACCAGCCTGGAAATAATGATATGAAATAATTTATATAAAGCTATAAATAAAATTAAGATTATTTAAATTAAATTTTTTATAATAAATGAATAAAATGAAGATAATCAAAATATCCTAAATATAATTAAATAAAATTAAGATATAAGATGGTTTAATGTTCAAAAAAAATTATATCGCAGATGATGCATCACCAAAAAAGGTTCTCAATCAATTAACCGGTCATAGGATATAATAAGCAAAATATTAAGAAAAACTCTAATATTTTCTAATTATTTTTTCTCCATCGTAATCCTCTTCTTGAAAGTTGAAAGAGCTGGTTCTTTGTCCGTTTTAATTTTTCCTCCAGAGCACATGCTAAATCTTCCCATGGTGTTGAACCTGATAAAAGAATAAAATATATATTTAATATTTATGTTATAAAATATATTTATGTATATTTCATACAAAAAATAATAAAATCATAACTTACTCATTACCATGCATTGTACAGCTTATAAACAAAACTTTTTCCCATTCCTATCTATGCTATTAATCACATAAATGTTATCAACTATTCCAATCACATCTATATAAGAAAACAATTGAAATTTAGTATAATTTGATATACTTGATAATCTATGAGGAATATAAATTTAACACATACGTATAAGAAATTCATTTGAATCAATTCTTGATTCAATCTCCTTGTAAGAAAAATATTAGATTTTGTACTTCTATATATCATTGTCATCCTCCTCTAAAACATTGATGTTTGTACAATAACACAAATAAATAGATACTTGAGTGCTTACTAATTTATACATCTTACTTGCAGTAACAATCTTTACGTTTGAGAAAATATGAATTTTTCCTTCTTGTATTAATTTTCTCAATCGTAATACATCATTCTTATGGCAAAAATCATGTACATAAGTGTTTTACTTAAACTTGGATAAAACATGTCATAATTAAAGTAAATTTGTATTATTTAAAATTACAATTAGCAGTATATATAAAAATTTAAATATACATAGTTATCAAGGATAATAAAGTTAATTCGAGATGAGATTCCAATGTTTATATTTTGTCTTTTCCATGTTCCATTGATTCTTACTTTTAGAATGACATCATTTTCATCTACTCCAAGCTTATTTAATGGTTTGTATACTACAATATTATACATCCTGATAAAATATCCATAAATTAATTTTATATGAATACTATTATCAGTATATATTAATTTTATAAATTTGGAAACAAATTTATTTAGTAAAAAATAATAATTGCAAAAATATTTTAGAAAACTGAATATATATCATAAATTTTGCAATATTTTTTAAAAAATAATCAAAAATAAATCGATAATAATATAGTAAAACATATTTTAATTAATGCAATATTTTAAAAAATAAATTAAATATTCTATAATAATTAAAAAATATATTTTAATTGTAGTAATAATTTAAATAGCTATAATAAACTGTAGGGTCTGATTTTGCTTATGTATACCAAGTGTAGGATCGTGACCCTTAAGAATAGAGTGCGCTCTTATAAAAATCTACAGAAGCTTTACACTTAAACACTAGAGGGTGAGTTTGCAAAGTAGATTATAAATTGCAAAGAAAGAATGGCAATATCAGAAAATGAACATCACAAACACAAGCATGTATACTGGTTCCACCTCCCCGGTGTACATCCAGTCCCCAAGCAAATCCTGCTTGAGAGTTTCCACTATGATTTTGAAACCTTACAAAATCAAAAGCAAACCTGACCAATTTGCAAGACCATAAAAATTACAAACCCAATTGATAAGATCATGTCAATCGTCACACCGATCTCTAGACCAAGAGATCAACCCCTCTCATAAACCAAGAGAACCTTTCTTTGAAGTAATGTACAATTCCAATCCTATAAGCCTTGATATAGATGTGAATGTATAATAGTGGCTTATCAATCTTTTTAACTCTCTGAATATTGCCTAAACAAGCTCTAAGAATGATAGGAACAAAGGCAATATCAGAAACTCTCTTTTATAGAAAAATAGATTGAAAAACTGAAAGTTTAGAGAGTTAATTTGCACAATATGTGAATCTTATAAGTGCAAAACTTGGTGCTTGTTTTCTGATGTTTAAACCTATTTATAGCCTCTGAAATGACATATTTTTAAACTCAATTACGTCCACAAAACGGCTATAAACAGTCACTTATTTAAAACCTGAAATCTAAAAAAACTGCATCTGTAGTCGACTACAAGTCATAGTAGTCGACTACACTGAGTCTAAACAGACTCTGTAAAGTTAAAAAATTGCTTAGTAGTCGACTACAAGGCATAGTAGTCGACTACACTGTAAACTCAGATTCTGGAATTTATCTTTTCGGTATTTTGACTGTAACTTTCTCATCCGATATAGGAATGAGGTGATTTAAGATTTGTTGGAAAACTGTTGAAGAGATCTACAACTTTAGTCTTTTGAGTTTTTCCAGATTCTAATTGTTAAGGGGTGTAAATAAAATATTTTAAGACTCACTCAATATCTATAAACTCTAATGGCTAACATAGGGGATTTCTATTGTTAACCAACACACTAAGCATGTGTTAGTGTGTTCTAACACTATGTGTGTGCATGTGTGTGAGTGATCAAGGCTTGTACAAATTTCTAAGCAAAGAAAATATAAAATTACATTTTGACAATAAAGTATATCTTCTTCTTTACTTCATTTTGCCTTGAACTCATCTATGCCTTGAGTATCTCTTTGAATATAATTGTTGATATAGCTCTGATACTGCAAAACAAATGTTAGCACATAATACACACAACATATAATATTTGTTATCATCAAAATAAACTAATCTTGGGGTCAAGATTCCTAACATTCTCCCCCTTTTTGATGATGACAAATATATGTTATTAAGATATAAAAATTTTAATCCCCCTGCATGAAATCATTAAATAAAATCTTTTACTCCCCCTGCATCAAAGCATTAGTAAAAAAATTTAAAATTTTCTATATAACTCCCCCTTTGTCATTAACAAAAAGAAATAAACATAATTCTAGTTAAAATTTTATTTTCTCGAGTACCTTAATAAAAATATTAAGCACTTTAGTACCCTTTTATATTATATCGATCATTAGGATTAGCCCTTAGGAATCCAAATCCATATAGAATTTGGTTTCTATTTATTAACATAAGTGTAATTCTTTGAATTGCAAACTTCATACATATAAGATGAAATATAATCATTCCTATCATGAATATTCAAATTCTTAGGAATCCATATATACTTATTTTGTTTAGCATGAGTATTCTTATTATTATTCTTCAAAACATAATCATTCTTTATAAAATACTTAGGAACAAATCCAATGCCAAAATGATTGTTTGAAGATTTTTGAAATGAGAGCAAATTATTCAAATTCTCTTTACTTTTATTGAATTTACTAACATTCAAACATATATCATCATATTTTAATTTAATAGAAGAAATATCTTTATCTAAAACATTAATGCGGATTTTTAAATCATTGCATTCTGATTTTAGATAAACATTCTCATTAGTCAAAATATGATTTTCTTTAAGCAAGGATTTATTTTCCTCTTTCAATTCAATTACTTGAGAATTAGAAATAGTAGAAGAATTAAAATCAGAAATTTCTTCAAGTAATCTTTTATTTTCACCTTTAAGAAAATTATGTGAAGCCTTTAATCTCAAAAATGTTTCATATAATTCATTGAAAGCATCTAATAATTCTTCATTATTGCATACCTCATCTTCTTGTGCCATGAAGCACATGTGAGTGGATTCCTCTTTTTGTTCTTTCATTTTGAATAACTCAAACCTGTGCACAAGAACAGATATTTTAGATTCTTTAACTTTATTTGTACCTTTGTGTGTTACCTCTAATGTATGCCAAATTTGATGGGCTGAATTGCAAGTAGACACGCGATTGAACTCGTTCTTGTCCAAAGCACAAAATAGTGCATTCATTGCTTTTGAGTCCAAATTCACTTTAGTCCTTTGAACAACTGACCATTCGGTATATGGAGTGGTTGGCTTTGTGAATTCGGTCTCTACAATGTTCCAAAGGTCGTAGCCAAGAGATTGGAGGTAGATCTTCATCCGACACTTCCAATAGTTGTAGTTCGTGTCATCGAATAGAGGTGGTCGTTGTGTGGAATATCCCTCTTTGAATTGTGATGTATTTATTGATGCCATCTTTCACCTTGCTCTGATACCAAATATAGAGTCTGATTTTGCTTATGTATATCAAGTGTAGGATCGTGACCCTTAAGAATAGAGTGCGCTCTTATAAAAATCTGCAGAAACTTTACACTTAAACACTAGAG